AAATACAGAAAAAACTGTAATATTGTGAAATATTATTACAATTTAAAATAATGTTTTTCTATTTTAATATACTTTAAAATGTAATTTATTTCTATGATGCAAAGCTGAATTTTCAGCATCATTACTCCAGTCTTCAGTGTCACATGATCTTCAGAAATATTATCAATGCTGGAAACAGTTTTGCTGCTTGTTTTTTTTGTTTTTTTTGTTTGGAACCACTGATACTTTTTTCAGGATTCTTTGATGAATATAAAGTTTAAAAGAACAGCATTTACTTAAAATAGAAATCTTTTGTAACAATATACACTAATGTTCAAAAGTTTGGGGTCAGTAAATTACTTTTTTTAAAAAAAGAAATTAATACTCTTATTCAGCAAGGATGTGTTAAATTGATAAAAAGTGACAGTAAAGACTTATATTGTTAGAAAAGTTTTCTATTTGGAATAAATGCTGTTCTTTTAAACTTTTTATTCATCAAAGAATCCTGAAAAAGTATCAGAGGTTCCAAAAAATTATTAAGCCGCACAACTGTTTCCAACATTGATAATACTCAGAAATGTTTCTTGAGCAGCAAATCAGCATATTAGAATGATTTCTGAAGATCATGTGACACTGAAGACTGGAGTAATGATGCTGAAAATACAGCTGCGCATCACAGAAATAAATTATATTTTAAAATATATTAAAACCATTATTTTAAATTGTAATAATATTTCACAATATTACAGTTTTTTCTGTATTTTTGGTCAAATAAATGCAGCCTTGATGAGCAGAAGATACTGCTTTAAAAAGTAACAAAAATCTTACTGATTCCAAACTTTTGAACGGCAGTGTAATGTGTGTGTGTGTGTGTGTGTGTGTGTGTGTTTTCTCTGCACCTTCGCTCTCAGAAACAGATGGAGTGTATTTCCTGCACACCTCCACCAAACACAAAAAGAAAGGTAGAAGCTGATGGACTCTGTGTGTGTGTGTGTGTGTGTCCAGTCTTTTCCTCTCCTGCTAGTTTCCCAGCTGAATCTGCTCCTGCGTCATGAACTCCTCACACGCGTGTGATTTGATGTGTTCGGTCTTACGCGTCCACACAGAATCTGTTCCCGATTGAGGCTGATTGAGGCTGTGTAGAGCTCCAGAATCACAGCAGAAGATGCAGATTCCGTCTGGACGCGCTTGTGTGCTTCTGACGGCGATTATATAACGAGATCTGCTCTTTCCTCAGAACATAGGAAGAACTACACCAAAAACAGCATCAACAGCCTGACGGACACGTCACAGTACCATGTGGAGGTGAGACACGCATCCGTTCAGGAGAATGAGTGAAGATCTGATCACACTAGGATCAGTTCTGACTCTGTATTAAACAATTAGACACACATCAACACATGAACTCATCCTCAGAAACCAGGAGAATACAACACAGGTGACATTAAAAGGATAATTCATCCAGAAATTATCATTCTGTCATCATTGACTCCTGTATGACTTTCTTTCTTCTGTAAAAGAAGATATTTTGAAAGTGTTGTCCATGCAATGGAAGTCAATGGGGTCCAATGTTGTTTAAACTTTAACGTTCTTCAAAATATCTTATTTTACAAAAGAAAGAAAGTCATACACGTTAAATATGAATGGTCTTACGCGTCCACACAGAATCTGTTCCCGATTGAGGCTGATCGATCAGCTGTGTAGAGCTCCAGAATCACAGCAGAAGATGCAGATTCCGTCTGGACGCGCTTGTGTGCTTCTGACGGCGATTATATAACGAGATCTGCTCTTTCCTCAGAACATAGGAAGAACTACACCAAAAACAGCATCAACAGCCTGACGGACACGTCACAGTACCATGTGGAGGTGAGACACGCATCCGTTCAGGAGAATGAGTGAAGATCTGATCACACTAGGATCAGTTCTGACTCTGTATTAAACAATTAGACACACATCAACACATGAACTCATCCTCAGAAACCAGGAGAATACAACACAGGTGACATTAAAAGGATAATTCATCCAGAAATGATCATTCTGTCATCATTGACTCCTGTATGACTTTCTTTCTTCTGTAAAAGAAGATATTTTGAAAGTGTTGTCCATGCAATGGAAGTCAATGGGGTCCAATGTTGTTTAAACTTTAACGTTCTTCAAAATATCTTATTTTACAAAAGAAAGAAAGTCATACACGTTAAATATGAATTCATTGGTATAAATATGAATTTGGTTGCCAGTGTAAATTTTTTGTCCTGAAGCATGTTATGTAGGCATCATACTATTATAGTTTTTAATTAATATTTTAGAATGCGTTTTTATTTTTATTTTTGTTTTGCATTTTTATTTTAGTTTCAGCTAAAGTTTTAGCAATTTTGTAATTTTTTGTAGTCTCTGTTATTTTTATATACGTCTGTGTAGATTTTAATAATCAGTTTACGTTTTAATTATTTTAGTGCATCAAGTTAAACTGAATGAAAATGAGAAATGTTGACAGTCACCACTGATAAGCTACTACTAAATATTGTAGAAACTTAATTTTCTGTAAAGTTGCTTTGCAACTATTTGTATCGTAAAAAGCGCTATACAAATAAACTTGAATTGAACTTGAATTGAATTGAATGAAAATGACTTTTTTATATTTTATTTTATTTTTATTTCAGTTAACATTTATTATATATATCATGCAACAAAAAAATTTTTATTTAGAATTTTAGTTTCAGTTTTAGTTAACTATAATAACCACGTCATGACGTCAAGTAAAATCACCTTTATTTCTATAGCGCTTCATACAATACAGACTGTTTCAAAGCAGCTTCTCCGTAATAAACAGGAAAGTAACAGTGATAATGTTGCAAAATTCATCAATTGTGAAACAAATTCAGTTTTACCTGTAAAGCAGCTCCGCAGAAGTCTTTATTCAGTTCAGGTTTTATTCTCATCCAATAGTGTCAGTGCAGTTCAATTGAAAATGTTACTGAATATTAATTCTTTTATTATAAAAGCGCTATAGAAATAAAGGTGACTTGACTTTTGTCTCCTGCAGCATCTGTCCACGTTTGTGATGGACCGCAAGGAGGCCATGCTGACCATCGAGGACGGCATCAGAAAGCTGCGTCTGCTGGACGCTAAAGGAAAGGTTTGGACGCAGGACATGATCCTGCAGGTGGACGGGAAAGCCGTCAGCCTCATCGACCACGACAGCAAGGTACGCAGGGATTAAAGTGTTCCGTTCGCTACGACGGATTTCCGTCAGTTCATAAAGACAGTCACTTGCTTCATTCCTGAATGATTCAGTCATTCGAACGAATCAATTGAATGAATGATTCAGTCATTCGAACGAATCAATTGAATGAATGATTCAGTCATTCGAACGAATCAATTGAATGAATGATTCAGTCATTCGAACGAATCAATTGAATGAATGATTCAGTCATTCGAACTAATCAATTGAATGAATGATTCAGTCATTCGAACTAATCAATTGAATTATTTGTCTTATTCTACATATTGTTTTAAATAGACATTTTTAAAAGATTATAAACATACATTTTTGAATTTGACGTAGATGAAAATTATGCCATTACAAAGGTAAAAAGAAAATACTCCTGTAAGTCACTTTAAGGAGTCACATGTCACCTCGTATTAGGAAGGCAAATTTTTGATCAGAATTTTTGATTATTGATCAGAAGGTGATTTTCAGACGTCTAATGAGGCTCAGAGGTAGCATGAGTGCAATTAAATTCATAAATTAATGTGGAGATGAATGTTTTAAATATAAAATTTTGAATACAGAAATATGAAATTATACGCTAAAAATTAAACTAAATCCACCAGCAGGTGGCGGCAAGTCAGTGATTTTATCACTGAATCATTCATTCAATTGATTCGTTCGAACGACTGAATCATTCAGGAATGAAGCAAGTGACTGTCTTTATGAACTGACGGAAATCCGTCGTAGCGACGGAACTTTAATCCCTGGATACGAACCCACCGATCCGCCGTCAGACCCTCGATGATACGCGTGTGGCCTGATCACATGCATGTGTGTGTGTGTGTGTTTCAGAACGAGCTGGAGAACTTTCCTCTGGGCTCGATCCAGCACTGTCAGGCCGTGATGAACGCCTGCAGCTACGACTCCATCCTGGCGCTGGTGTGTAAGGAGTCCAGCCAGGGCAAACCGGACCTGCACCTGTTCCAGTGCGACGACATCAAGGTCTGGCATCACCGCAGCGTTCGTCGCGTTCACGCGTTTGCACAGTACTGACCATGTGCTTTGACTTCCTCAGGCCAATTTGATCCACGTGGACATCGAGAGCGCCGTCAGCGACCACAAGGACGGGAAGGTCAAGAAGCGTCCGGAGGTGCTGAAGTAAGTCCAGCGCTTGTCAATTATAAAGGTGCCTGTTGCCACGGTAACGCAGCATCCGCTTCTCTGTGCCCCATCAGAATGATTCTGAAGAGTGACGGAACTATCCCTCCGCCCCCAGGAGGCCCCGCCCCCAAGCCTCCAGGAGCTGTCAATCAAGCGTCCGCCAAGAGCCGAGTGGCCAGTTGGTCTGCGTGGACCAATGAGCAGCAGGAGCGTGAGTGGAGGCGTGTCTGTCGTTAACCCTCGAGTTCCTGTTCCAGAGTCTCATTGTGTGTGTGTTTGTCCTCAGATGATCCACAGAGACATTACACAGAGCTGGAAGACTCTCCTGAGATGAGCGCAGCGCAAGTGGACAGAGATGTGGTGAGTGTTTACACTGATACACGACGACATCCTGTTCCTGCTCCCACGCATCCTTAAAAAGTCCTAAAAAGTATTAAATTTGATTGTTAAAATTTATTTTGTTAAAAGTCCTATTTTTACTTTTTTTAGATGACGCTTTGACTTAGACATGTATGACCCTGGACCACAAAACCAGTCTTAAGTGTCAATTTTTTTAAATTGAGATGTATGCATCATATGAAATATGAATTTGACCGAGATACAACTATTTGAAAATCTGGAATCTGAGGGTGCAAAAAAATCAAAATATTGAGAAAATCATCTTTAAAGTTGTTCAAATGAAGTCCTTTGCAATGCATATTACTAATCAAAAATGAAGTTTTGATATATTTACGGTAGGAAATTTACAAAATATCTTCATGAAACATGATCTTTAATTAATATCCTAATGATTTTTGGCATAAAAGAAAAATCAATAATTTTGACCCATACAATGTATTTTTGGCTATTGCTACAAATATACCCCAGCGACTTAAGACTGCTTTTGTGCTCCAGGGTCACATATCTAAATACTTTACCAACGTAAAACTACCGAATTAGCATTATATAATTTTTACTATTCTTTGGGGATTTGCCTGTTCTCGTGACAACTCGTGGCATTTATGACAGCGTATTACATATTGTCTCTGTCTCTTGAACGCGAAAGGGAGCGAGAAGAAGAAAATTAGTAAATGTAAGTTCAGTTGTAAGTTGATTCTTTATGTTCATAGGGGTGTGGGATATGTATGCAGTTATATGACCCAAAAATTCAAGATACACTGGCATTTTTACCCCCAATGATTTTATGTCTTATTTATATCGAAAGATGTAGTTATATCAAAATATCACATGAGAAAGAGTGCCGTTTTTCCCAAATATCAGCACGATTGCAACTGTGATATTTATTTTATACAACAGTTAAATAAACAATAAGTTAACATTGTGGGTTACATTTAAGACACAACACTGTCAGTATTGTTTGTTTTTCCTTTATTTCGCCAACGAAAATTTCAGAATGAAACCACAGCAGAACCGAGTCTCTGAGCAACACACAGCAGTGATTCGTTACTGAATGAATCTGCGTTTTGAATAAATCAGTTGAATTAATGATTCAGTGACTCATTCAGTTGTTTCATTCCTTTTGCGGTTTGAACGAATCGTTTGAATGAATGACTCACTCAGCTCACTCCTTAAGACTTGCCGTCACCTACTAGCAGTTTTAGTTTGATATTTAAGGTACCTTTTAATTAAAAAGTTAAAATGATAAATAATTTATTATTTAAAGATTGGATTAAAAAACAATCTCATTGCATTATTTATGCTAATGCCACTTCTGTCACCTCTGCACTGTTAGGCTATTTTGTTGAAAATGATTTAATTTGATTGGTAAGTTCTAATTGAACTTATTTTAAATGTTAGAATTTGACATAAAAGGTGATGCATACAAATGTAAGTATAGAAAAAAATTCCTTATATAGGTAAAAATGCCCCTGTAAATCATTTTAAGGTGACAAATATTGCCCTTTAATAAAAAAGTTAATTTCTGTCACTGCTGTGAACTGACCACCACATAGAATATGAATACCGTATTGGCCCGAATATAAGACGACCCTGATTATAAGACGACCCCCCTTTTTCCAGATGTACCTTTTGGAAAAAGGCTTTTTAAAAACCAAATCTTGTTTTTTCTCAGTAAAACACATTTTGTCTTCAATTATTTTCATATTGCATATTTTTCCTATTTTAATTTTTGTTTTGAAAGTATGATAAAAACTGGTAAAATGTACCAACAAATCACATTTAAAAAATATACACTTTTTGATATACCATAAAAATAAAAAAAAACAGGTAGCCCATCTGAATTAGGACATTTAGGCTATCCATCTAATAGTAGCCCACCAAAATCTTATTAACAGTAGAAGTAAAATCTTACTGTAGTCTTCAAATCTGGGTACTGTCTTACGTTTTAAAATCACAAAGGCAGTTTGGTCCCATCAGGCTAACGTGACAGTCACGACTCATGCAGCTGTAAGGTTTTCTGCTTCTTTTGTTTTTACTCGCGATCTTTACAACACGCATTACATTACGTATTTCATGGCACACTCGTTTTATGCGGTTTTGGCGCCACCTAGTGTTGTGGGTGTATTATTGACATGTCAAAGTCTAGACCCTGAATATAAGACGACCGCGTTTTTTCAGATGTATTTCCAAGAAAAAAACATTGTCTTATATTCGGGTCACTACGGTAATATGAACGTCTTCACGAGTCAGCTGTTCACAACAGGCCTAAAACACAAAATATCATCTAATTTTAGTCATCAACAGAATCTTTGATAATATCGAGATATAATTTATTGTTAATTTTGCACACCCCTAATGTACAGTATTGATTTTTATTTCTTCAGGTCTTAAAAAGCCTTAAATTTGACTTTAAAAAATGTGATTTCAATGTGACGATTTCATTAAAAAACAGGCTGAATTGGGGAAACAAATTGCGATTGCAGTTTATAATGCCATTTTATAATATAATAATATTTTGCAGTGGATAAAAGGCATCCTGAAGACTTTCAGTCAGATTGATGGTTTGTGTGTGCGAAAGTCACGTGTGTGTGTGTGTGTGTGCGAGAGTCACGTGTGTGTGTGTTTGTGACAGTGTGTGTGTGTGTGTGTGTGTCGGCAGCAGAGGGTAAAATAC